AATTTTAAAAATCATTAAAATTATGTATATATTTTTTAGTTTTAGTTGTTTGTTTTAAATTGATTATTTGGGAGGCTGCAAACTTCTAATAAAGTTGAAGGTTAAGTTTGATATCGTGTCTCCTCTCTTGCAGTTTAGTAACAGGATTCCTACAAGCTAATCTAGCTCTTTTTCACAGTTAGTCTGAAATCCAAATCACAGCTTCTGAAAAAATTCCACGAAACTCTGTAAAGAGGCAGCTTTTTGCTACTTAGTAGGAGTCTTTACCACAATTCAATACTTAATTAGCTGTCCATAAAGCATAGGACAGAGAAGTTAGGACAAGATTTAGCACTGAGCAATAATGAACACTAATTACTATGTTGCAGTACTCTTAGGGATTATGATGTTGATGGTACATTTATTTCCTAAGAATAATTAATGAGATTCTTGAGTGTTGGTCAGCATTGCTTAGTACTTATGCACCCAACATCTAATTATTAATTATAATTGACCTTCTCCAGAAATATCAGCCACAGATAGTAGATTTTTATTGGTGAATAAAACTATTGCTAAAGGAAGTAACCTCATCTCTACAAAATAGTGTGCCTATAAGCTGGCACAGCATATGAACATATTTATTCAAGAAAAACATATAATCTCTGGAAAAGAAATTAATATTATTGCCCTGTGGCAACCCAGGGGTAAAAAACTGGCATTTCTTTAACAAGTCCTTGTCCCCAGTGGAGACTTTTTATGTTATTACTAATAGACCTTCTCCTGGGAGTTGAAACATCATCAATTTAGGACTGACTTATCACTAGAGGGTCTTTTATTTTCAACTTCTCCTTAATTGACGTCATGGGAATTTTGATTTTCAGAGAATGTATGTGTATATGTAAAGATATTCTGAATCTGCTATCTTCGAAAAATTAGGACTGTTAAAATCTGACTTGATCTGTCTTTGCTTTCAGTTGCCTTACGAGAAGGACTGCAACAACAAGACCATCTGTACTGCTCATTTAACTTTGACAAGTCAGATTCAGTGAGTCATAGTAGTTGTATTATCCAGATTTTGCATTTAGCATTCATATAAAATGTCATCTTTGTGCATAAGACCTTTTCTTCAAATTCTCAGACAAGATTTGGTGTCCTTTTGTTTACATTACTTTCCATTCAATTAATCCTTTCCATAACATCACATTCATACAATGCCGTAACTGTATGCCTCCATGGGTGTTGCTGGGCTGTTCTAGCAAATCTCAGAGGAAAGGCCAAGGTTTAAACAACTATAGTCATCTTAAAAATCACGATTCTGGCATTTAATTGAGAACATGTGATTTTGTTTTAGACTGATGCACAGCATAGCACTACAGCAAGGAGTTACTCAGTTTACATAGCCTTAGACAAAACAGCAGGCATCACTTCATTGTAAAAAGCTACCCTGGAGATTCACTGAAAAGCTAATCAAGTGGAACAATGCTTAAAATCTATGTTGATGTAAAACAGAAATGATAAAATGTTACATAAAGTTTGGAGATGACTGCCTTCAATATTAAGAAGGAAGCATTTTCCAACATACCCTGAAGAACAGTGAATAATTAATTGGGCTATTGCATTAGCCTGTGTATGAAAGCATTTGGAGGGAGTAATTACCAGAACCAGAATACTTCAGGCCTCTTATTAAATAACAACCCTTAGAAATTATATGTCACCCATCTCATTTTTCTGTCTGCTTCTAGAAAGGAATTAGTGGTGGGCCACACTAAAGAAGTGACCATGAATGTTTCGCTAACAAACAGTGGAGATGACTCATACATGACAACTATGGTCTTGAACTATCCTAAAAACCTACATTTTAAGAAGGTGACTGTTGAGGTAAGATTGTAGAATAACTCTTCAACTAGCAGCAGACTGCTGAAAGAAAACCCAGCACAGACTCCTATTAATTTACTACCTAAATAAATCTTGAAGTAAAGTCCAGGGAAGGGAAGGAGCATTTCAGTTGTTAGGACTAGAGCCTGAACAACTGGATTTATCTGATTTAAGACTCCCAGGCTTTTATTGGGCTATTTGTACCTAATTCGTTTTATGGGAGCAGACACAGACTGAGGTGAATTTCCCAGTCTGTTTTTATTCAACATTAAAGAGCATTCCTGTTCTGTTGGCAGCCATCCTCTCCTACTGTTCACTGTGGCCTACCAATACCATTAACTTCTGTAGTCTTATCCTGTAACTGCAGAATTGGGCATCCAGTATTCAAGATGACAACTGTAAGTAGAGATCATTATTTTCACTTTTTCCCTACCTCTAAATGATACTTTGAGTAGCTGCTCTTGCATCCTCTATCTCTACAATTTGGCCAGAGCCGCTATTCTTTCTAATTCAGCTTATGGCTGGTGTGCATTTTCTCAAGGCAATAGATAATTTTTGTATTCCTGCACTTTATGTCTAATTTCTCCAGAAGGGAATGATGAGCAGACAATACATTAGCCATTATGTTTTAACAGTGCCCTGGTGAGTTAAAGAGTATTTACGGGGTAATCAATATTTTGTTATGTCTTTCTCTTCCCTCAAAATAGGCAAAATTTTCAGTGATTTGGCAATTAGAAGAAAGCATATTCCAAAATAAGTCTTCAATCACCGTTAATATCACCAAGTGAGTATTGCTATTTTCACCACAAATACACTGTTAACTAGAAAGGGAAATATCAGAGTTCCTACTCGGTGTCCATACTATTTATCAGTCACTGGTTACACTTGTTCTATATATATAGACTTGTTCTTTTCAACCTTCTAAAGCATTTGGATCCATGTGAAAAATCTTTCCTTACCTTATGATAATTGCTTATACTTATTTCAGTAAAAGATGGAGCACCCTTTAAGGTCCTTATTTAAGTGTAGTACATATTTAAAAGCTTGTGTTTTCTGAAATGGCAAACTGGGTTCTGGCATCCTCCTTCCTTAGCAGAGAGAACAGATGATTAAAATATATAATCCTGTTCTGTTCCAAGTAAAGCTTTCACTCCAAATGATTGGGATGAGAACATAAATTCAGGGCATTTTTCTTGATTAGGGGCTTTCTAATGGGGGGAAGTAACCATTCAGATTCCTTTCTTGTCACGTTCCTCCCATTTAAATCTATGGGGACTGACTAGTACACAGCATTTTTTAAACAGAGAGCATCTTTAAAAAGAAAATGAGAACTCATCTCTGGCAGCTACACTTCATTGCAAGCACAGTTTAAAGCAAAGGTTTCTATATGAATTTAATGTCCAGTTTTGTGAGGGGTAGAAGCTTTACATTTTGATTAATGAAAGCAATACTATATATTCACAAATTAGCATTGGTTTGCGGGGAAACGCTTCAAGCAATGGCAGCTTTCAAAATCTGTAGTAATAAAGGGCTACTCCAACAGTACTGTACCATGTCACCAAGTGGCCTGGCACCTCTCCTTTCATTAATTACTGCCACTCTATTTCCAGCCAATATTAGCAGTTCTCAAACACAGAAATAAAGGACCAAGGCAGGCAGATAATAATGTTGTTTCATCCATCCTTTTTTTTTTTTCCAAGCATAAATGAAAATAGCACCGTTCTGACTGAAGAACATATCCTTGATGTCAGATATGCATTCACTGCAGTCCTTACCAAGTAAGTTTTAAGAATATTCAATTATATTGAATTACTTCAGTCAATTAGAGGAAAAAAGATTGAGAGGATGCCTGGTAAGATTCCAATACAATTTCCATCTTAATAATTTCAAGCACTGCAGATTGTCAAGTCACTTTCTGTGGTACTAGACAGCAAAAGTAAAGAGTCTGGAAGACAGAACAATAAAACTGTATCATAGGCAGGGGGGTACCTAGGGTCTCTAACTGCTTAGCTTGTAAAAAGTAGACTTCAAGATAGGTTCAAAGATGCATCTAACTGATAGACTACATATATACACGCATATATAGACAGATTTCATAGACAGCATTCCAGTTAAAACAAATCTGATGATGCTACCTCTTAATTACTTAATGCATCTGGGTCATTGGATGTACTAATTTTTAATATTAATCTAATTCACTTTTCTTTTTAGACCAGTTCCTTTAATGTACGTGAATGTTAGCGAAGGACTTCTTGAAAACAAAGAATTCAAATTTAATGTAAGTATAGCTTCAAATTTAGGTCATCTGATCCATCTGCAATCAGGACTAAAGAAGACTTATTATCCTGTGCATTTTCTTCTGTAGATAAATGGAGAAAATCACTTTAACGCTACCATCAAGTTACAGATTTGGGTTCCTATCAGTATACAAGGTCACAACATAATAACGGTCAAAAATGCATCAGGAACACAGGTACTTTTTCTTATTTTTTTCCTAATCCAATACTTCTTCGCTGGTCCTTACAGAGGAAAAAAATAATATTATTGCAGATTAGTGTTTTTAAAACCTACACTACAGAAGCTTTACGTATTGACATTTTGTAGCATCATTCCAGGTACAAATTTTGCCAAACTGAACACAAGTTCATTTTTGAAATTAAGTCAAAAGGTGGGGTTTTTCCCCTCTCTGTCCCCAATTGGGCTAAGAATAGTTACCTTTGTCCTCACTGTCCAGAATTGTATTTTTTTTTCTTTTTTCTTAAAAAAAAAAAGAATTTGTAAGAAAGACAATTTAGTAAGGAAAGAACTTTTAATAATCTAAGACTAAAAAGGTAAGAAAACTTCTGTGGAATTCAAAACATTAATTGAGCCCGAAGAAATCTTTTTCTCCCCCCCCTTTCTCAAATGTCAACTCTGTTCTCTACCAGCCATCACCCCTCAAAAAAAGTACTTATGGGAACATCTTAAAAAGAAGACATTTTTGGGGGGTTTTTTAGACATTTTTGATAGCATATCATACACATTGGTAACCGATCATAATACTTCTTCATTGTGCCAACATTTAAAGATGTTGGCATACATAAAAAACAGCAAAGGAGAAAGGCAGTATCAGTGACTTAGTTCTTGGAAATATTGCACTCCCTTGCTCACTGGAAGAGGCTGCTGTTTTGTAAAACTTCGTTGGCAGACTCAAAGGTCAGTACTTCTTTGTGGAACTTAATGAGCTGCTGCTTTATTTTCCTCATGGCAGAAGTCGATTCCTTTTTCTTGTAGCCCATGTCTTTCAAAAGTTTATCTGACAAGTAGTGCAGCCAGAGGACGTTGGTGTGTGGATGATAGTCAGTCCAGCTATTGGAATTCTCCACTTTCATTTGCCTGTAGATATCAAACTGGTAGTCCCCTGTGCCTTGAAACAGTTCTTCATCAGTGGAAAGGTCACAAAACACAGTTAGCCCATCCTTCTCCAGCCGAGACAAAGTATAATCTATGATGTTGACATGAATCCCTGCTGTGGGGATTGTCCGCGTTGCCCCATTCAACACATAATTAAGCTCTTTCACATCCGTTTTCTTTACCAGCACGTTCCCCCAGTGCAAGTCTCTGTGCTCGAAGTGCAGTTCCTGTTCTGCCACAGCCAGGGAAGCAGTGACCTGGTGCAAAATGCTTTTTGCTGATGCCACTGAACTAAACCTGTTTCTCATATTCTCCAAGTCACTGCCTCCAAATTCAAACTCCAGAACCATGAAGAGCTGCTCATCCCCAAAAAGGTCTGGCCGATCATTTTCTGATCCTGTTACTTCATGGTATTTGTCCCAGGCTTCCAGGAGATACTGAGGATAGGCCCCTTGAACACAGTGCACAGAGTACAAGCTAATGAACCCGACAGTCCTATTCACAGACTCTTCAGACAGAAGACTGAGTTCTTTTGAAATTATTATCTCAGGCAGAATCTCTCCAAAGCTCTTTTGAGCTTCACCATTTACTCTTTCAGTCCCCTCAATGGGAATTATTTTTAAGGCCACAGGTCCTCTCTCGCTGTCAATCTGGAAGACCTCTCCGAACACCCCTTCTCCAATTTTCTTGCAATCTTTCATCTTATCTAAAGGAATGCATTCCTCAAAAGCGATAGGCCCCTCCTGGTGGCATTCCCCAAACACCTTCTCTGCATCTGTAAGCATTAGCTCCAGGACAGAACAGGAATTCCTGGGAGCCAGCAGGAGCATGGAGGAAGCAGACCAAGTGCTGCACTGAGCCTTACCAGCAGATAGGGTTACTTGGTGCCCTGAAAGCTGGGATTTCACAGAAAGGGTACAAAGGATGCTGTTGCAGGAACTCTCTTCTGTGGTAACTTTCTTCTTCTTATGGAAGGACAAAGATGCTCGAACTCTACCCCAGGAATGGGAGCTATTGAGGAGTGAATCGTCATTGTCTCTTATATCTACAGACATCTCCAGAACACCCTTCTTCATTCCTTTTTGCCTCATCTGTGGTCCAAAAAAGGAGTTATTAGGCTGCTGCTGTCTCTTATTCTTGTGCCTTTTTGGACGGAGCCTTGTTTGCCTCCCCCACCGGCTGGCACTGAAGCCGCTGATGCAAGCTTTTCTACAGGTACTTTCCTCTCCAGAAACGACTTTGGTACTTTTATGTTTATTCCCCAAGATTCTTTGAAGGTCCAAAGGAGATACTGGCTGCTGGTAGGCAGGTTGAGCATCTGCCTTTTTGTTGCGTTTCATGCTTGTCAGCCACATTGGCACTTCTTGAGGGTCCAAGACCACCACCGGCGTAAGCTGGTACTTCTTGGTTTTGCCCCTCTGACAACACAAGCTTTCCTTTGTTGAATCTCTTAGATCATCACATGGTTCATCAGAAGCGGCACTGTCATACAGTGCAGGGTGCTCTGGCTCACCATTAACGGGAGGCAGCGCTGCCTGAGGAGTGGCGGTGGCTTTCTGTGGGGATAGGGGAGCTTGTGCCCGGCAGGGTCCCCGCACCGATGCCCTCAGAACCCTGCCGGACTTTTGCAACACCGAGCCCGGCTCACCGCTCCTTTCCGTGCCTGTTGGACGGGACCGTCCAGCCCCCTCTTCCCTCGCGCTGTCAGCCCCCGGCAACGGCAGGAACTGCTCCGAGTCTCCCCGAAATGACTCCAGCGAGCTCAGGGCGCTGCCGGACGAGGCCGTCCGCTGCCTGCGCGGCGGGGAGTAGAGCTCCAGGCTGCCGTCCAGCCCCGAGCCGCC